GACATCCGTTAAAATTGGAACGATACAGAGAAGATTAGCATGGCCCTTGCACAAGGATGACACACATAAAACGAGAAATTGTCCAAAAAAAAAAAAAAAAAAAAAAAAAAAAAAAGTTTAACGATGTCCGAGTTTCTGGCACATTTGCGGAAACTATACCAGAATTGTGGTGGGGGCTCGGCCCCACTTGGAGGATCATGTGCTGAATCTGGGAGCAGTGTGTGGAATGCCGTGAAGCGAAGTATAGAAAATGTTAGACACTCCCGATGGCGAAGAGCAAGAAGGCAAGCCCAACAAAACCCGGAGAAAGCCCGGGAGACATTTAAAACGTTTCAACTTTCAACGGGTTACGTTGGTAAAGGGTAAGATAGCAACAATTGAAGGATCCAGAATAGTCTTTCACTGGTTTGAAAATACAGAGCAACGTGAGCAAGAATAGGGCGTCAGATTCGTTAAGGTAGTACTTAAAAATCATGACAGCATTACAGCTGAGGGTTTAGGGTTTAAGGTTTAGGCAGAAACAAGGCAAACAGGGCTTACGGTATCAGAGACTTCAGGAGATTCGTAGGCATTTTCAGTCCGCTCTAGCATAACACACCAATTATTTTCTTTTCTTGAAAAAAAAAAAAAAAAAAAGAACGGCTGGGAGAAGGAAAGCTAGGAAACATTCAAGGTAATACACTGTGATTAGTCTGGAGAATAGCAGGGACCCAGCGCAGAGTTCAACATGAAGAGACGGAAGATTCAACAACTCCTTTACTGACACCATTATAATCAGTTAATCTGGGCTTGACATAATAGGTAGGAAACAGTAGGAGACATATAATAAGGACTGTACCATAGGTGTCCCGGACGACTCTAGTTAAAACACAATTATCTGACAGTTACATTACTGAGAGGAGTACGACTGGGATCACAGGGATGGTGAAAGGAGTAAAAACTCAGGCTAACTTAGGCAGGGTTGAGGGATGGTACATCCTTCGTTACGGAAGTAATCAATGCCGTCTACTCGGGCCTCCCAGCCATAATGGGGAGGAGCGTGCGTTTCTTATGTATCTATTATTGACTTGCCAAGGGAAAGGAACCGGACTGTCGCTACCCAGAATGGTAGGAGCCAGAACCAGAAGGTTCTGTTTTTTTTTTTTTTTTTTTAAAGAAAAAAAAAAAGTTAGACACTGCAGCCATGCAGAGGTGGTGTGGTCGTCAAAACCAGTATGGCTCTTGTACACCGTATAATGGCTACAGTTGTCGAAACACTCAGCTCTTAAGGTCAAGGGTGCTGGTTCAACTCTGTGCATTGTCATGGATGGACAATCATCACTTTCTTCAGCTCCTATGATTTTCAAAAATTCTGGTCTGTAGATCTTTTCTCAATTTCTGTGTCATCCTTCCCAAAAAGACACTGATAACGGCCTCTCTGCATAATTCCAAGGTTAAACAGGTGCTGCAAAGGCCACACAACCCCAGCCCCTAAAGCTCAACCTTGAAGAGGAGTGCTAAGTTCAAAAGTGGTGAAAAAGTCATGGGACGTCAAAAAGTGGCAATGTTGGTGAATTCACAAAAACCGGGCAACAAACAGTGTTCGAACTTCGATAATCAAACCTAACCAGAACATAACCCCTATTAAGACGAACCGGGGGCGCTCACCTGGCGAGTGCTGAAGGGGAGCATCTGCCCCAAACATCCCATGAGGGACACAGACCTTTCTGCACTGCCTCTCTCCTCTCACATCGGCTGGCAGCCTGCACAGACTTGGTCCATTTGCTGCTGGATATCTTCTTATCCCCACATCTAAGAACTTCCGCTCATCATCAGGACCACGACCAGAATTTGTGGCTGTAGTCGTTGCCGTCCTCGAACTTCTTAATGACCCTCTTCCTGGCCCAGATGCACATCCTGAATCATGTGTTTCAGGTCCAAAGACTCCAAACCCATTTGTCCTCGGACACCGCTCCCTCATAAGTGTGATTCCAGATGCACTTCGCACATGGAATTCAGCCTCTCCTGCGGGAGTGACCGCCCTTCCCTGGTCCATACTTGCTCGAAGTCCACTCACCACCGAGCTTGGCATGCCCAAAGACTCACCACGCCTTTCCCACGATTTATCACCCACCCTCTCAGGCCGCTTTGACGTCACACTTTGAAAGCACTGTTCAGTGTCTGGGGTTGGCACAACGACATCTAATCTGTCTCGGTTCCTTAGGGCTGCTCGCGGACTTCCAGTAACATGTGATGGGACTTCAGACAACCCATTGATGGAAACTCCATCTGGCAAAGATGTTTCAGTTGTTCCTGCCACCGGTGAAAGCACAGGAGCTGACTCGGACTGGGTAGAAGATGCCGTGGACAGCGCTTGCATAGCATGTGGAGGTTGTGAGCAAGCCGCTTTCCGTGGAGACACTGGACCGGCTTGCCAGCTGATCGTACCTGAAGGTTCCGAAACTGGCCAGCCAAACATTTCTCGCCCATCACATTTTGCAAGCCAAGAAAAGCAACATTGATGGAAATAAACATGGGTTAGGGCCGTCCTTCAAGACATCCGTTAAAATTGGAACGATACAGAGAAGATTAGCCTGGCCCCTACGCAAGGATGACACACATAAATTGAGAAACTGTCCATACAGAAAAATAAGAAGAGGAAGACGGGGGTTCAGGCCTGGTCACAGTGCAGGGGTTCAGTACTCCTTGAGTATGATACTTAGGGTGAAACTGATACGTGTTAGGACCACATTTGTGATGGTTCACACCAAATAACATGCAGCTTGGCCAGACCTTCAGAGCACATGACCACTACAAGAATTCATCTCTTCTGAGGGATCTCTCATTCTTTCATTTCTTACAAATTGTATTGCAATCAGGGTTGCATATGTGCCGACCGCCTACCACCCGCAGAACCTTTTTGCTGCCTACCGGTATAGGACTGACCGGTTGGCGGTCTGCCAACCAGTCAGTAAACAGCCATCCACTGATTTTTTTGAAAATCTGACTATGGGCTCTACTGTGCTTGCTGAGTACAGCCCAGATCCACTAAGAAACTTTTGGGGATGGAGGGGGGTACGGGGAGTTATGGGG